ATCTCCTTACCATTCCCTTTTACGAGTAAGAGACGGTCAGATTTAACGCCTCAATAGTAAGGGACGGTTAGGAAATTTACAATAAAGTGTGATGCACGCAGAGTTGTTGTTTTGCTCACTAAGGGTACGTTCACATGACAACAGACGAATTTTCGACCGCCTGAAAAAATCATTTATTGTCATTAAAATGATAAAAACTTAACAATATTAAAAGAGATATCCTAAATAAAATACACTGTCTACTAAAAAACTATAACCAACTAACAAAAATACTGTCTACTAAAACTACTCTAAAAATCATACTAAAACTAATTAACCGGACTCCTCGTACAGAGACCGTTCAATATTTTAGCACTGTTCACACGGAGCTTTAAACGGCGGCTAAGCGTCTAAATTTTCGTACTTTAAGGGTAATTTCGTGTGAACGAAACACCTAAATGTACGAATTTCCAACAGGTCGAAAATTCACACCATAACGGATAGCTTTTGCGTTGGCATGAAAACCATACCAGATAGGGATTCTGTTCGCACAGAAAAAATGGTGATTCTGGCGCCATTTCAATGAACGTAGCGAAGCTTCGCCGCGTCGATCTCTAAAATGGAGAGTCACCAAAAGCCATCCGGTATGCAGTGTAACCAATAGCCTAGACCTATTTCTTGTTTTCAACGTTTCCTTTGCTGTCGCCGTCGTATATTCGTAAGGTCCATAATAGCCTTTTGTAGCGTCTCTTACCTGCGCTTAATTATCATTTGCTGACCATGACTTGGTTGCTTCAACATTAACAGGTTTGGTGTCAGTCCACAGCTTCGCGCAAGATTAGAGCTTCGCGATAAGCCACGTGAAAGCCTACCATGGAACGAGTGGAGAACAAAGGCGCGTTCAGGTTCACTTCCTGGCAAAAGCAGCGAGAATACGGCTACACAGTACACGAAACACGAACTATACGAGCAAAATGTGCGCCTTTTCGCGTGGAGCGAAAATAAACGACCGCAGACCGCTAGACATGGTAATTCCCGGATGTCTTTTACCGAGTGGCTTGACAGAAAGGAGGCCTCGGCCGAGAGAATGAGGCCCGTGACTGCTGCCGTACGGAGGCAGCAAGATCACAAAGGAGATTTTGAACATGAGAGACAGTGGCAGAAGTCAAAAAAACATGAAGAATGGCTGCTGAAAAAGGATTTAGAGGCCTTGGAACAGGAGGAAATGTTGAGAAGAAAAGCGAAGATAAAGTTTGAAAAGGCGCATAAAAATATAAATAAGAGAGTTTAAGGATATCTAGAAAAGATATCCCATTTTAAGGGCTTTTTTGCTTTTTTCTGGTGGACAGCATTCAAACTCTACTTTTGCGTAGACACACATTTCCCCGAGAATTTTAATTCCATTTAAACTCATCCATCATATGTCTATTCTTCTAACGCGCTGTCAAAACGAGAACACAAAACTCAATGACTTCGGGTCAGTGTTATAATATATTAGGTCCAGTAACAGGTTTGCTCCAGGCCCCAGTTGCTCATAGGTGGATAAATCTTTATCCAATGGATAGCGCAATTGGTTTTCCTAATACTTATCGCTGGACAGTGATTTATCCAGTGGATAGCGCTATCCAACGTTTGAACAACCACAGGGCAGCCACACAATCTGTTCGAGTAGCCGATCGTTATTTTATAGTAAATGTACTGGTTTACCGTTTGCCTCACCGTTGGTGGGCCTTAAACGACCATGAACGACTACTGAATAATAGTTCAGCCATTCACGATATCCCAATTATGAACCCAAGCGAGTCTTAACATCACCAGTGGTTGTCAAACAAAAGCGATTAATTAACACTAGAAACACAAATATCAATAAGTAGTTTATCAAGATACATACTGAGAGGTTTTATTAATAAACGTGTTTAAAGTTTCCAAGAGTCCTAAGAAGTGTGTCAGTTATTTTTGCATCATAGAAAGAACGTTTTTGCTAGACGCGCTTTGCTGATTACTAATTGACGACGACACTTAACAATAAGTACACGAGAAACCTACATGGTTTATAAAATACTAAGAGCCTTGTTGTTAGTGGAATTTGCATCCTCAAATGATTTGCGCAGACAACCTTTGTTGTTTTGTAATTAATCACGTTTAAAAAAGCGTTGGATTAATATCGCTTGGGATCAGACAAAAAAGACGCTTTTAAAATAAAACTGCTTGGAACCTCTAGGGACATTTTACTACGGTGATGATTTTTGTTTTTAGATAATACAGTAAACTACTAGAAAAAATGCTGGTGATCACATTTCAACATAGAGAACATAACGGTTCTCACTGTGCATATAGATAACACAGCTTTTGCTCTGACAAAGACCCGACGGAGCCTGTAAATTTTTCTTTTTTTTGATTCGAGCAATATAAATAATCCTTTACAGTGCATTGTAATGCTTGCGTAGAGGTTGAAATTGAAAATTGGTCATCATTTCATGCGTCATAAAAGCGGCCTTATAAAATAATACAACGATCGTCGCTGAGTTTCAAATGACATGGTTATATGGCTGTCTGGTGATATAAAAACCCCAGATCTCTCTTAAGTAACTTGACCTCTCATTCACTTGTGGCCAAAAGCGACAGTCATAAAATCTTACCCAATGCCGGCCAGCAGCATGGAAGACCTAATAAAAGGCAGTGGTTTGGAGAAAAACAGTACAAAACAAGACCCTGAAGGTTTCCAAGTTCATGTCAATTTACCCACAGGAGAAATCGCAAATTTTCAAGCAAAACGGTCGTCGATCGTGCGTGATGTGAAAATGACTGTTGAAGTGAATAGTGGAGTGCCGTCTGATTTATTTACACTTGTATACATCCAAGGAGAAAACAATACTATTGAACTCAAGGACGAGCAAATGATGGCGGACATTGACACAGATGTTGAAGACTCGATGACGTTTGAACTGAGTATTCCTCCATGGTGGCAGAGGTTCGTGGATAGGTGTATGAAAAGAGACAATCGTCAAATACTCAAACGGATCGCTATTAAAATGAATCAAATTTCCATGGAAGAAAGAGCGTTTGTTGCCGCCTTCATAGCAGCACAGAAAGGCGACAGCCAGTTATTTCAGAGCTTGCTGAATGGGGAAGTGAAAGTTGACATCGAGCAAGCAGTCGAGTGCAGCGGCCGTACGCTTTTACACGCTGCTATGATAGGCGGGAATTTTTCGTGCGCGGCGGCGATATTCATGAATGGCGGCTCTTCGCTCCTCTCGAGGGTCGATCGAAGCGGTGTCACACCAGTGGATATTGTAACAAGTAGCAACCAACCGGAACTGGTGGACCAACTTGCCAAATACGTAGAAATAAAAGTTCGGGAATCCACGGAAAATGACGATGCGGAGGACAGATCTCCCGAGTGCCCAAATATCAATCAGGAGGACGGGGAGACAGAGGAGGTCGAAATGATAGTCACCACAAAATCTACAGACGACGACGAGTTTTTACCAAATGAAACGGCGGAAAATTTAACATTTAACGACACTAGCAAACAGACAAGACCAGACCAAACGGCAAGTGAAGTTGGGCAATCAAGAGAAGACAAGAAAGACTTGAATGAGAGATTATTAACGCGCGTTTCGTCCGAAAAGGTGAAAAGTTCTCGTTCTCAGCTGAAGCTACATATGCCATTGAGAGCTAGCAAATCTCTTCACACCACAGACAGGCCTCTTTCTGCAAGGTCCAAACTCATAACCGTGGAAGAAATAAGACCACTTAGCGGTAAAGCTGCTGCAGAAACCAAACAGTCCGATGAAAGGCTCCCAAGGGTCAACACACCAACTTCATCTCCAATGAGTTCTCCGCGCATGGGCCGGAAACTTGTTCCATCCCTGCTTAACCCAGATAGACCCGGAAGTCCCCTTCTCCGACCCCGGTCTCCGACGCATCCGGCTTGCCCCAAGTCCCCGACTCCACGCCCTAAGTCCCCCTTAGTGCTACGACCGGGCTCGCCAAGTGGATCACCGGTATTCAGAAGACGAGTGCTTCGTTATCCCAATACATCTGAACCTCAGAGAGCGAGAACAACGTCCTTCCAACAGGGTGGAGATATTGAGCCTCAAAAGCCAAGAGCGAATACATTTCATGGAAGAGGGAATGGAGAGACTAGGTAAGTACAAAATCACCATCGTGCGTCGATTAACGAAAGACTATACTAAGAGTATGTGTCTGGTATAAAAGCCAGCAACTCAAGACAACCCCTTCTCCTGTGGTTCGGGTGTATTTCGGGTATAATTTTGCTAACTTTGTAGCGGTCATTTTAGCGAAGCTTAGATGTTGTGTTAAGAAAAAGCGCGCCATAGGCTATCGTATTTGTAGGGTCAACTAACCCATCATCATATCTAAAGGTTGTAATAGGGAACTTAAGCAACTACAGCAGTGAAATCGTCACTAAAAAAGAAAATGAAGAATCATTTTGTTTGTTGACGATTATATTATAATTATTTGTAGGACCAGGAAAATGAGCGCCGAAATGAAGAATTTCTTGATGTCACACTACCCAGCAACTCGTGAAAACAAACCATGGAATGCATGGAAGACGGTCAGGAAAACCCAGATGGATCTGATCGATGTGTCGGACGACGATGACGACTCGTCATCCGAAGATGAGGGAGAAAAATTGTCGACCTACTTACAGTCGACGAGGTCACGACGTCGGAAAACATTTGACATGTGGTTGACTGACAAAGAAGCGCAACAAGTTAGACAACAAACTGAATTGGCGGAAAGAGCGAAGCAGGAGGAATTAGTCAGGAGAAAGCAGGCTTGCTGGCGTCAGTTAACTGGAAAAACGCACGGACAATGGCTCGAAGAGAAAACCGGCGAGATTAAAGCTGAAGAAGCTGCAAAGGTTAGAGCAGCCGAGCAAAGCGAGGCGCAAAGAGCTATAAAGAGATATCAAGAATGGGTGCGGCGCAAGGATGAGGAGGCCATAGCTCGCGAAGAACGATGGAGAAGAGAAGCGATTGAAAAATTAACAGAAGTAAAGATGNGTATATTTATTTTCTTTTATTTGTATATATTTATTTTAGAAATGTTAGGTAAATTGCTATGGAATAGTCACTGTGTAGTAAACATTGCGTGACACGCGACCCCTCTGACTACTTGACGTACACAACGAAGCAAAATTTGAATTTTCCTTTTTATCCTTTTTCCCAT